TAGTTATTTTCTTAGAATAATTTGAAGTTATTTCATTATCTTCTTGAGAAATTAGCTGTCAGCTTTATTTATTGCTTCTTTGAAGGAAATATCTTATTCCTCCCTCTCTCCTCCTTGCCTGGTATCAAGGGTTTTTTCATCTTTCATGTTCAGAAAATCTCCTAAGATATGTATAGGTGTGGATTTGCTTGTATTTGTGATTTAGAGTGAATCTAAAAATCTGTGCCCTTATGCTATTTGTTAGTTTTGGAAAACTGACCCTTAAAATATTGCTTCTATGTTGTCATTTGGAATTGACTTCTGTCATATCTCTGTCATTCTTTTTCACTCTATCCGTATATTTTTATGCCTTTTTTCTACTTAATGATGCTTTTGCCTACCCACACTTCATTTTAGATTTTTCCTTTAGACTTATCTTCCAGTTAACTTATTTTCATTTTTAGCCATGACTAACCTGTTGTTAAACATATTCATTTATAGTTCTTAATTTTAATGATCACAATTTTCTATTCCAGAATTTCCATTTGGTATTTTTAAAACATTTTTTAGTTCTCTGCAAAAATTCAGTATCTTATGTTTTATTTTCAAGACTATTTTTTATTTCTCAAGCATACTTTTTAAAAGTATATAACTAATTACTTCATCATTTGGAACATTCATGGTCTATTTCTATTTTCTATGTGCCTGGTTATTTTTTATTATGTGACAGACATTGATAATGAAAAACTGTTCTTATAATCTGGAGTGTAACATGATTTTGTTTTACTTTACAGAAGAAATTCACAGCACTACAAATAGATAACATAAATCCACCAGTCATGAGATAATTTGCAACTGAAGTTCAGTCCATGTGAGGGCCAATCTCCTAAAATGTGATCCTTTGAAGTCCCAATATGCGGGATTTACTATATTCTCCAAAAATGTTTGTTCTCCTAGCTGCATGTGTCTATCAAAGTTCCACTTCTCAGCTTCTAATTCTCTTAGACACCTTTCCAAACTGGTATATGCATATAGATAGAATGTATTTCCATATGCCAGGCTTACCTCTTGGACTCATATTTTTTTTTGAGCTTTGCTAGCTAAGCTTTTAAACATTTAAGTCTCAAAAATAATCTTGTTCAGCTTTTCTAGTCTTCTCAGTGGAAATGTGCCAAGTTATAGTCTGTAATCATGGAAAATGGATCTTTTAGTAAATTGGACTCATTTTTAAGTTTGGTGTTAAGACAGAAATCTAACTTCTTTTTATCCAACACATAGCCAGTTATCTATCACAACTGATTTTAAATGCCACTTTGCTAAATGATTGTACATGCCATATACAAAAACCCCATATATGCACGAGTTTAATTCTAAATTTCATATTTAAGAAAAATGAAAACTAAGAATCAATTTGATATGAAAAAAAAAACACAAGAAATAGGCATTGCCATATCCAATACCACGACATTTGATAAAGTTGTGACCCCTTCCTTCAAATTCAAGGCCAACAGTGTAGCATTTTCAAATCTCCCCCTCTCTGACTCTCCTGTTTTTCTTTCTTTTCTAGAGAAGCTTGTAATTACAATAAGCTACCTGGATAATCCAAAATAATTTCATCTCAAATATACTAATTTAACCAAATCTAGAAAGTCCCATCTGCCATGTAAGGTGACATATTCACAGATTCTAGGAATTAGTATGTATCCATATTGAATATTTGATCAATGTTCAAATGCTTTTGATTAGCTCAAATCTGTTCTGTATTTGTGTCTTGATTTGTTTGTCTGTCTGTCCTGTCTGTTTCGTTGAAATAGGGTCCAAATATGATGCTTAAGTTGCAATTTGATTCAAGTACTTTTTGATCTATAAATTCACCCTTTATATATTTTTTTAATTTCCTTGTAAATTGTGTGTTGAAGATCCCACATGTTTTTTTAAAAGTTTATTTATTTCTATCATGACACACAGAGAGAGAAATTGTGAGAGACAGGCATCTGCGATAGGGTCCCCATGCTACAATCCACCCACAGCCTCAGTCAGCCTAGATGAGCACCATGTGTGAACCCATAATACACTCAGTACCCTCCAGATGCAAACCGGGGACCTTCCCCATGTGCTTCTGGCCTCACATGGTGCTGCAATACTGCTATGCCACTATGTGCCTGATATTCTACATCTTCTGTCTTAATAGACTCTCTCAGAATCTAGGCTAATCGTGTTCCTATGATGTCCTTAACATGTTCCTCCATCTTCCACATTTCCAGTAAATGGGTACTGAGTGTTAGATGAATGACCAGAAGAACAAACACTTCAAATTTTAGTAATAACAATTCAATGATAGTTTTCTATGAGTTTCAAAAAATTTTGCTAGAAGCCATATGTATTCATCAAAGAGAGACAGAGAGAAAAAGAGAGAGAGAGAGAGAGAGAGAGAGAAAGTAAAAAACACCCCCATAAGGGATAGTCACTCCACAATCCCTTCTCTGCTATTTCTCCTTCTTGTTAGGAATTTACGCATGCATACATACATGCCTGGCAGGTTTTACAAGCCATCAGGTCCAGGAATCAAACCATGCAGTGGCCATGTGGGATCCAGCTTCCCCAATCACTATACCACCAGATGGCCTGAGTTTGTATAATTCCATTAGGAGGTAAATATGTTTTACTCTTTCTGTGATGTTAGATGCTACTGACCGTCACGGCCTAGATCTCTTATTAAAGGTTGAATATGATGGTATTCTATGTCAACATTCTGTTTTCATTTCTGAACTAGATCCTTCTATGAATAGAGGGGATCTATGCTTTGTTCTAATCTTCTATTCACAATTGAGAAAGAAACTAAATTTCTTCAGTATTATCTAAGTATAATAAAACGCTTGTCTGAGAGTTAAATTTGAAACATTCATGTGATTGTCATATGGCCCTTGTCTGGTCTCAATGTACCAAGATCAGCATGAATAATCATATTGTTGTGGTAAGTTCCTGCCTCCTCTATGAAAGGTTGTTAATTAAAACAATTTGGGGAACCAGCAGTTAGCGTAATGGCTATGTTGCTGGATTCCCACGTAGTCGACTGCGGTTCATGTCCCAGACCCGGTGGCTTGGAACTCACGCCGGGCACATGTGTGTGTGTGCCCAAGATCCCGAGAGGAGAATGGAGGAGAAGGGATTGTGGCGTGGCCATCCCCCTTGGGGGGTGATTTCTCACTTTCTGTCTCTATGTCTCTCTCTGTCTGTCTGGTGAGTGCACACGCCCTATAGCAAAAACCTCTCAAAAAAAAAAAAAAACACACAATACATTTGTACCAACAATTCTCAGACACTTCTAAAGTGTCATAAATTATTGTAGTATTATATCTGCTTTTGTTATTCCTTTAAAATTGCATGAGTGGTCTAACTGGTCAAATCCCAACAACCTTTCCTTAAGGGTTTTTTAATAGCTCAAGTTGGATTGAGGAAAACACACACACACACACACACACACACACACACACAAAAAAAAAAGAAAAAGAAAAAGAAAAACTAATGAGTCAATCCCTGTCTATTTTATTCATTTGATCTTTCCATAAGCATAAATGTCACCTAAAAATATCCTTAAAGTATTGAAGAAAGGCATGATGAAGCAATTACCAAACATAAAGATTTCTTTTGGGAATTCTTTCTTGATAACTCTAAATATTGACTTATGCCACCACTGAAGCCACTATCATTTTCCTCAAAATTTGCTGAGTAGATGAGATAGGGTTATATTCCAAACTGCTAATTATTTTCTGTGGAATTTTGTCAAGTGACATGTAATTTAAACTACAGTATGAGTATGAGGAGATTGCAAAGAAGTATCTTAAAGGAAAGTCAAAAGCAAAACGGGTTCTTGTTTTCCTGCAACGTACTTTTACAAGGCCAGCATTAGGACAAGAACTGAAATGGAGGGCGTATGACATGGTGACTTATCTATTTTTGCAGTAAGCAGTTTATAAATTCCAGAAGAGCAACACTTAGGAAGACAGAAGAGCTGGCACATTCCATCTAGTTCCTAATATCAAGAAAGCTGAAAATCATGAGACTATCCCCCATTCACTGTTTATTTCTGATGACATTCCCCTGATACTTCTAAGAGACAATGATGCCTCCTAATGTCCTAACGTGCTTAAGAACCTACATGAGCACTTGTGATGGCATCTTTAGTCTCTTTAATATGTTCTCCTAATGACTAGAAGTGAGTCTCCAGATGACTTACTTCTAGTCATTAAAAAATACATGACTGTAGGTAAGGCTGTTCAGAAGTGTTTCCAGGTAGACCATTTACTATAATGAACTGCTATTTTTTGCACTGCCACTGAATCACATACGCAGTATTGAGAGATTACTATCTCTTGTATAATACTATGTACTATAATAGAAAAACAGCAGATATCCCTTGCCTGCAAGAAAGTTCTATGGAGTTGTGTTGACTATATCAACCCACAGGAAACTATTAGGAAACTATGTAACACAGTGTATGGTTATGTGCTTATCTAGGCTAATGGTAGCCAAAATTCATCAAGATCAACTGAATAAACTCAAAAACTATGATCAGAGAGTCAGTCCAAACCTTATTTGAGGTATGACACAATTATAGTAAGTTTGCTACACTGAGAAAATTAGATTTGAATTAGGTTAAACAATGAGTAGACTGAAAATCAAAGTGACACAAGAAGAGATTTAACTGAATTAATTTATCAAATTTTTCCTGATTTTATTTGTATGAAGGCACACATACCCTACCCAATTGAGCTTTGTCAAATAATCCATAAATACATAAGTATACGTGATTAACAATGCTCTTAGTGCCAAAAGACAGCTTATTTTCTTAATCCAAAGCTCACTTTATATAATTTTTCTTCTTGCAAACTACTAGTTGGTTATATTAACACTTGAATAATCTTGACAAGAAGTTGCTTTAAGCAGTTAAATATCCAGATGCTAATCAGCATGCATTAAGTGATTCAGCTTAATTGGTTTCATCTAGATAAATTACTTACCTCAGTTCCTATCACGATTTCTTCCCTGGCAGAATAGAACATAAACTCATATAGTTTGTAGTGTTGAAATAAGCTGAAATATAAAATAAACAGGCAACTTTGTTAAATTTGTTCAAGAAAATAGGGAAAACATATAAGGGCATTTATTAGAGGAAAGTTTATACTGACCATGCTAAAGATATTAAACACTAATATAGAGTTAACCACTTGATTTATGGAATAAGAAATTATTCAGAGATGCTAAGAAATTCAAGTTTTATTTCTTGAGACACTGAAAATGTACCGCAATACCTAAAATAATATCAATAAATCTATTTGTAATAAGTGGATAGGTCTGGGATAATGGAGCAATTAAATTGCAGCTTAACTTTTCCAACCTTAAAATGAAGTAACACACTGTCCCTAAACAACATTGAATTTCCTATTTTTTTTATGTTTTGCTCCAAATTGAAGTCAATTTTCTCTGGTATGAATGGTCCTAAATTTTATACTCCAGTTCCATATCAATTACTTCCTCTTACATTCCCAAACTGTTTCAAGATTAAATTAATCTCTAATAACACCTGAAAAATGATGCGACATGAACTCAAATCCATTTAGAAGATGTCTGATTTTCCTGCAGAATATCAGTCACACATCAAAGCAAGGAATTAATTTTAAAAAGATGATTTTTTCAGTTATTATTCTAAAGTCAGGTGGTCATTGTATAAAAACTACAAAGAGCCAAAGGGTAGGAGTCTTTAAACCAAATATTTCTAGTATATTTAAAAAGCTTTGCAAAGTATTATTGAGAGTTAAAAATTTACTGAAGGGCTGACTTCTAATATCCTGTTTGTGATAATATTTGAATTTTTCTAATTCTCTTCCTGCTGGTTGGGAAAATTAATAGACTCATAATATAGCAAAATGCCCAAGAACAAAAAAATTGTCATAGTGGTTTCTCTTTCACTCTGGTGCCTTTTGCTATTTAAGAAAATTGATTTTAATATAGCTGAGAAATTAACATTTGCAAAATGTAGCTACAGAGCATGTATAATAATGGCTTCTCCTGAATGTTGTAATGGATCAAAGTTTCAATTCATTTGAAATCAATGAAGAAATCCTCAGGCAGCTGGGTCTCTCTGAGTTATATTAGCAGTTGATCTCACTACTAACATAATCAATTAAAAAGTGATGTGTGTGTAAACTGTTATGGTTTTTCTTCTAAAAAATAAAGGAGCATTCAAACTACTCATCAGCATACAGAAAAGTAACTTAGTTTTTGACATCACTTTGATTTGTTAGTTAGAAAAATGCAAGATTAATGATGTTTGATAATTCAATGAAGAAAAGTAAGTTCAAACACACTTTCCCTTACACTAGTTATCTAAAAAAAGCCTTAAGGTCAAAAATACTACAGTGACAATAACTGATTTTTGAGTAGAAAAATTAAAAAATATAGAACATAGAGTATTTTGGAAATAGCTCTGCTTCCTCTTAGTGAATGAGAATAAAATGTCCCTTTCTCTATCTGTATCACAGGAAGAACTTAATTCATAAATCAACCTTCCTGCAATTTCATAATCTTTCAGCCATATTCTTGTATTCTCTTCATAGGAATTATAATGTCTCATGCTAAGAGAGAAATTAACTTCTTACAGTGAAAATGTAATGCATTAATTGGATGCGGTGTTCGAAGATGCAGGGTTGGGGGGCAAAGCCAGGATGAGGATGAGATATTCAAGGGCAGGTGCCTACAGAAGACACTTTCTCAGGGACAGGCCAAGTTTTCTGCCTTGCTTCTCCCCATTTTTCAGCTTTTCCAGGGAGCTATCAGGTGGTTCCCTATGGGAACACAACGTGACACTTCCTCTTCCAACTGACTCAAGCTCCTAGACTATTTTGTCAAACATCAAGTCTTAATCCTAAATCAAAAAGAGAAGAAATGAAAATGGGCCAAGACCTGTGGCTCTAGACCAGGAAGGGCAATACCCTGTTGTGTGCAGGAGGGTAAGATGGATTATCTTGTATTTGGTATATACCTATACACCTTATCATTCCCTAAGTCCCAGAGAATAGGGAAAACAGAAAATAACAGACCTTTACTTGGACCAGATATATGTGAAAATAATGTTATGATGTTGTATATTAAAAAGTTAGTGGGAGCCTGCAGGTGGCATGGTGGTTAAAGACGCTGGACTCCCACATGGCCAACCACGGGTCAAGTCCCGGGCCTGGTGGCTTGTTTTCTCACTTTCCCTTTCTCTTTCTCTGTCTCTCTCTGATAAAATTGGAGAATAATAATAACAAAGTTAAAATTAAAATAGTTCTAAAAAAATTCTACAAAATTTTAAAATAAAAAGTTATGGTGGTATTTATATTTGCATTCATATTTGTATATATTATACAATAAGTAGTTACATAGGTCTATATATAGGTTTATAAATTATTAATATAGATTTCTATAGATCCATATAGATATGTAACTGTATCTATATATAACTATACATATATATATATATATATGTACATATATATACACACACACACACACACACACACACACTCATATATATAAAATCTCACAAGTGGGGAAGAATTTCTTTTTTATTTGCCAGAGAGTGCATATACTTGCTGGAGAGAGACAGTGAGACAAAGAGAGAGAGGAAAAGGGAGAAAGGATCCTCCACAGGGAATAGTTGTATTGCAATCCCTTTTCCTCTTTTTCTCCCTACTTTTGGGACTTTGGCATGCGTAGACACACATGTGGTGTATTTTACAGATTGCTGTGTCTGGGACTCAAATTGTGTAGATACCCATGGTGGGTCCAGTCACCTTAAGCACCATGCCACCACTGGTCCAAAATTTTGATATTAGGTTTTTCATATCATAGATACATAACAGATTGTATTAAGAACATCACATGAAATTTCACTTTTATTGTCAGTTGAGTTTCCTGTGGTATCAGTCATGTTCTAAAAACGGCTCTCCCTAAATTGTAAAAGTTTGGTAAATTTATATAAGTTTAAAGTGAAACATCTTTATACTTTTTTTTTTTTTTTTAAGGTTTTTGCCATATGGCGCATGCGCTTGCTGGAGAGACAGAAAGAGACAGTGAAAGTGAGAACTCACTCTCCAGGGAGGATGGCCAAACCACACCAAAATCCCTTCTCTTCCAAACTCCTCCTGGGATTCTGAACATGCCCACATGTGTGCCTGCATGAGGTTTAAGCTGCTAGTTCTGAGATGCAAAGTTGGTCAGCTCTGGGGGAGTCCAGTGCCTTAACTACCACGCCACCTGCTGGCCCTAGAGTTACCTTTATATTTTAAAAACCCTTTGTAATCATCCAAATAAAAAGTCATATGACTTAATTGCCATGAAATTCACATTTCTGTATCTATGTGGATTCTGAATGTGTGTGGATTCTGTATCTATGTGGATTCTGGATTCTGAACAGGTGTTGTAAAAAAGTACATTTCTCTTTACCCAACTTTGGTATCAATTCTAATATTCTACTTAACTGATATTTTATTTGTCTTTAATAAGACTATTTAAAATGTATAGTTTCTTTGAAATCACATATGAGCATTTAACAGCATCCACAAATAGTTCTGATTTACTTACTTTCACTAATCTCTTTAATGCTTACCTTCTCTTAGAGAGGTAAGATTAAGAATCTGTGGTATGTGAAGTTAGAATCTAAAGGTGACTAACACTGACATCCCCTCCTAATTTAACTCTTTTCTAAGAAAAGAAGTGTCAAGAAACATACAATGAACATTTGCTTAGAAAGGTGAGATGAGAGGGGAAAGGGCTGCTATTCTTCACTGTCTGAAAGGTGTCACTGTGGCACTTGCGTGGGTCTTGCTGCCATGGTTAACTGCCAGTTCCCATGCCCATTATAACCCTCCTGGGCTTAGAGCTCAGCTGTAAAAATGTGTTCTGCAAGAAAAAGCTGGTATGTTCAAACAGAAAGAGAAGAGGCAAGGATGCTGATACAAATGTGCAGAGCAGAATTCCTCTTCCCCAGTGATCTCAAATCCTAATGGATAGACACTTTCAGAAACAGGTTCTCCAATTCTGGATTTCCATCCCCACCCCTCTCCACCTATAAAGATCCTTCCTTACTTTAATTGACATAAAAACTACTATGGCTTTTAGTCAAAGGCACTCATTAAGAGATACGTTTTTATATTACTAAATGACATTATAGCGCATGCTATTATATAACAAACATACTATATTCCATTATTGGTTCATGCCAGAAACCAGTCTATAAACTTTATCATATTAAACACACTAATATTTAAACAGCTTCCTTTGGACTAGGATCCTTGCCAAGCAAATCATAAGCATGTCTAGGATATTATCCAGCACTTTTTAATCTTAGAATTTTAAGTTTTGCAGTTGAAAAACACTGGCAAATATAGTACAAGAAGTACAGAGATATTCGCAGAAGCTTATAGTTGGGCAAAAGATTTTTTACCTACTCTCATTTGACTATTTGCAAACTCTAAAAATGTCCCTTTCAAGGGATGCGCAACTCTACTGCAGAGCATATGACAGGCTATATAAAAAGACAGAGTGTTTTTAGCTCACCAGTGAAGAATTACTGTAATAAAAGTATTTCCCCTCCATCCACCATCACTTTCTAAATAGGAAGACTTAGTGAGTTTAATTGGTCAATACTACAAAATATTTCAGGGTGCATAATAACTTTGAGGAAGTATATTCATAGATCTCTTAGATTTCTAATACAAAGCATTTAGAATAAATGTTTAAATGGAAATGAATGTTGCTCCTTAAAATTAAACAATTAGGTAGTAGAAAAGGTCAACTGCCTAAAATATAGAATCTGATTAATCTAAATCATTCTATTAATAAAATGACACTAATTAGAGAATAGAGGAAATAAAGAAATTCTTGGATAATTTATTGTAATTCTAGATGAGATTACATGTATCAAACACAAATCTGTTTTTAAGAATGCAAAATTAGGGCAAGCTCTATGGTGGCAGTGGCTCAAAGAAAAGCCTAATCCTGAGTGGTGACTTGAATTTGGGCTTCATCGGCCCAAAACATGCAGGGCCCATGTACAAACGCCCACGATCCAATGGGCTGGAGGACTGAAAGAAGAGGATTGCAGTATGACTGGACTCCATAGAAGATGCTCATGTTCTCACTCTCTTTATCTCTCTCCTCACGCACTCTTGCTCGTATGTGCATGTACATAGCTTCATCATGAATAAAGAAAAAAAAGGAATGTAAGGTTAGCCAAAATATTCTATATCCTGACTTTAATTTATTAAATGAAAGATTTAAATGCTAAATTTAAAGAAGATTTAATTATATAATTATTGCTTGGGTTAATTACTGTATAACTTCTGTAAACACTGATTTGCTAAAATTTGATTACTTCCTATTTAATAGATATATTCTAACAATATGAAATGAAAAAGAAATGCTACAGAAAAAAAATCCATACCTGATTTTTAAGTAATCAATGATAGCATTGGCTTGCTTTACATCAAAGATAATCCATTCTTCAGGTTTTTGTATGTGGGTTGGTCCTATTTCAGCCATAACTTCCCCAAGCCATTTTATACTGTCCTCCAAGGACATATGTAGTGCTGAAATAAAATACAAGAAAATCTTAAGCATTATTTTGACAAATGTTTTGGTACAAAATAATCCGGAATGTCTTTGATATGACAAAAATTCCTTTGTTAAGTATTTGTGAAGATAAATGGTAAAACCTTTCTTGTTTCCTCATAATAATAAGTTAATACGTTTTATTTAAAAGAATAGCAGCTCACAAATCCTACAATTGCAAATTTTTGTAATACTACACAATTGTCTGGAGAGTTTATTTATTTATTTCCCAAGGGCAAGCACATTCAGCAGAGAGAGACAAAGAGACAGAGAGAAAGAAAGGGAGAAAGCATCCCCCAATGAAGTATGGTCACACCTCAATCACTTCTCCTCCATTTTTCATCTTGTTAGACTCTTTAGCAAGCACACACATGAGTCTAGCATGTTTTCAAGCTTTGGGGGCTGGGATGTGAACTGTGGTTGGCTATGTGGGACTATGGGCCAGCCCATGTGGTTCTATTTTAAGCTGGAAAAAAAAAAACATTTAAAGATTACTTTAAAATGGAAAAGAGACTCTTTTTATTGAGCTTACAAGGAAAGTACACATGAATATTATAAGTTGATTGAGTTGGGTGGTGAGAAAGACCTATAGTAAATCAGTCATAGTAGAGCTGAATTCAGCTGAAAATGTAAATAAGTGGGGCTCATCAACATTTGACTTTAACTGATTGTTAACCATTTAGAAATTTGGGATCTGAAGAGTTTCAATAGAAGTCAAAAATGTTAATTTTTCTGTAAGACATCATAATACACTATTTTCCCCACAGATACTTACAATTCATATAAACTGTTTCTCAAAGGTATGCCCAATGGTACTGGTGAAAGTTGGATGAAAGTGCAAAAAGACTGACACAACTTCACCACCGTTATGGAAACTAAATAACTCAATAATTTTAGTTTATTCTCTTACAGCTACAAACAAAAACAAATACTTAAAGCTATCTTCTGTGGTATTTGACTAGTTGAAAATTAGATAAATGTTAATAACCTTAAACTTAACTTTTAGATGGCCTGTAATAAAAACATAAACTCTCATCTTCTTTTCTTGGTTACATTATGCTCATTTTTATTTGTGGCAGGCAGTCTAGACACCCACTCTCCTCCATCCCTTCAGAGGGTAAATTCAGGTTAACTGTAGGGTTCAGAGTGTCCTTGGTTTGCTGACCAGTGACAAGTGGGTGGACATAACATGAAGAAACCTGGAGGTTGAGAGCTGAAAGGCCCTTAAATGAACTTCAACTGCTTGGCTGAATGTCAGCCCTAGACCCAAATAAGGGCTCTGGGGGGAACTACTATACTCAGTGTGGACCCTGCTAATGAAATCTCTAACTCTCTTAGGAAGCCATCAGTAGACTTTCCACTTCCTGTAATGGAGTTGACTTTTGGAAGGGGATGGAGATGCAAAGAAGTTACGAGAACATAGGTTGACTGTTGGACCTGGCCAACAGATTAATTACATAGCCATTCTTTCTCTCTAAGATGTAGGTGCTATACCCCACCAAAATTACTAGTGGATAATAGAAAAGTGATTTCAAATGTTATGAAAATACTATGCATGCTAATTTAGTTTAGATTTCTTTTCTACTTGTAGGACTTAGAAAGAACATAAAACCATATGACAATTAAAATCTAGTTTAATGAATTTCAGTTGGCCCATTTTTCATAGCCTCTCTCCAGATCATTTCTATGTGTGTCAGATACACTAAATTATTGCTGGATAACTAGACTTTCCTATATCATTCTAACTGGAATTCAATTATTATTGTATATTTCTCTTCCTATGACAAACTTCTCTTGAAAATAATGGAAATAACTGCAGAAATGAAAAATCTATTGGATAAAAGCAATTCACAAATGAATGGATCAAAAGTCTGGATCATTTTATTAACAGAACGGTATTAATTAGAGATGCAGAGAAAAAGAATTCTTAGATACTTGATTAAAATTCTAGATGAAATTATACTTATCAAACAAAAACTACATTTATATGACTATTTATGCTGAAAAATAAGTGACTCTTTAAACTGCTTTTCTATGTCTAATGCCTTTCTATAGATAATTGCTTTAAAAATTAGGAAAGTTATCATTTCATTTATCTAACTAAAATATTTGCTCTTTTAAAAATCATATTTAGTGATGTGATTGAAATATGAAAGATTAAACTACTTAAATAGCAAGGGCTGCTGGAAATAAAATTTATTCCTGAAAATTGAGGGTAATGAAAGAACACACTAGACATATAATTAATTGGAAGACTTAGGATGGTACCTTATAATTGACACTTACTAGTTAGGTGACCTGAGTCTCATTTTCTTTATCTGTAAAAATGAGAATAACACCTATTTTCATAATTATAATACTATTGTGAGGATAAAATTTAAAAATGCATGTGAAAAACTCTTGGTAAGCTGAAAACATACGGGTACCAGTATATTACCTGTGTGTAGTGCCTTTCAGAATATATCTTAAAGCCAGGCACATTCAATGTAGTAGTCAAGAGAATGGGCTTCACTCACTATTTGACTTTGAGGAATGATTTAACTCCTCAGAATCCTACCTATTCTTCTCAGAGGCTGGGTGTGAATTAAATAAGATAGTATTTGACACTGTGGCTGGCACAAGTTAATTAATCCTACATAAATATTACCCTGTTATGATTTTTCTTAATCGAGATTAAATTTAGCATTGCAGAAACTAAAAAATATTCTATAATTACTTACAATGTTTATGTTCTATACAAGGGAGTCAATCTAGGCCTGTGAACCTGAAAAGAAAAAAGATCAAATACCCAGTCTAACACTCTACAGCTTGCTCTTGGTCAGGCCCTAGAAAAAAACTAGACCCCAAAATGTATATTGTTGAGATAGCTCTACAAATTCTATGTTCTTTATCTTTCACTTTGAATCAATTTGAATATCAATGGGTTTTCTGAAGAAAGTCTTAAAGACAGGCAGTCCATGTTGGAGACAAGGATCAGGGTCAGCATATACCATGATTTCCATGCTAGAAACACCATTCTATAAAGGATGGCCCAGCCTGTGTTCTTCAGTACTCTTCTATGAGGAGTCCGCTGAATGGGAGTGCTGCCTGGGTACTCAGGAACTCTGCTACCATTTAGGGTTTTTTTGCCGTTGTGTTTTTTAAGACAAGGTCTTGCTTTGCGCTGGTGATTCTCCTGCCTTAGCTTCCAAACTGGGACTACAGGCTCATGCCACCACGCTTGGTTCTTTTATTGACTGTCTTGCTGTGTTGCCCATGCAAACCTCAAGGTTGAGATGGTCCTGCCTCAGCCTCTCTGAATTGCTGGGGTTGCAGGTGCATGCCACTACACCCAGCCTTTAGGTTACACTGGAAATGAAATGGGCCTCCACTGTGGTCCTAGGCTACAGGCATGGCATCTCAGTAGCAAGTGTCACTTGCATCTGTGCCTACTACCACTCAGTTTAAATGTGTACATACATTACCTCCTTCCGTGGCACACTTGGCTAAATTACATTCTTTCCCGATAATGACTATAACCTTAAACTTTGAGTTTTTTTTTTCTACTTGAAGGAAAAATGAGATTTCTTGCCTTTTTTCCTAGTTAAATTCTACATATGTATTTTCACTCTTACACATTTTATGACGAGTGGGATGGATCCTGCTCAAGTCTCAGAAATTCATTTTTGAACTGATATCAACAATATAAAGTTTCACTGAAATGAAATATTCCTTGAGTCAGTTATGCTACGGAAAAAGTTTAAAATGGAAATTCTTTCTCACATTAGAATGTGAGATCCATGGAAGTATTTACTTTCCTTTATTCTGTTTCTAGTTGATGCATACTCAACTCGGAGATTGCAAAGCTTAGGACTATCCATGTCCTACATCCTCTTTCAAAATTTAATTTTTTGCAGAGGTGATTAATTCACAGTTCAAAATATACATAGAAAGAGATACTGTAAAAAAGACTTCGTCCAACCCCTTTTGCCCGCCTGTCCGGTTCCCACTACTTTCTCATATAAATAATTTTGATTATTAATTTTTTCTCTATTCTTCTAGCATTTCTTTGTGTATATACAAATAAATACATATGCAAATCCATATTCTTGTCTCTTTATAAACAAAAGCACACAATTCTGTATCTTGCTTTACTCAATATCAATACATAGTCTCCCACACAATATACAGAAAGCTTTCTCATTCATTCTTTTTTTTTTCATTTTAGGGCTAGGCTAACACTTATTGATAAATGTTTAATTTCAGAGTAATTTTAGAATTACAAAAAAGTTGCAAGAATATCATAATATCCAGAGAATCCCCAGATATTTGAAGAGTGGTTAGTACTTATAAAAATTTTAAATAAAGTTAACATCTTTGGCAAATTAATCATTATAAAAAACTTTAGCTTTGTTAAGTATTATTTGGTATTTTACAATTCAATAAAGATATAAACCACATCATTTCTATAACCAGAAAAACTTATGATTTTCATCAAAGAAATTATAACATCAAGAACTTTTGCTCAAGAGTATAATTTAGATTGTAGATTAAATTTCCTTTTCTATAAAAAGAAAAAAAAGTACTTACTCCTAAGATTATGAAGTAACATATCTAGTAAAGTCATAAATTTTGAATGTTGAACAATAGAAAAGTTCATTCCTCTAGCCCACAAAAATCCAGAAACATAATAATCTAGTATAATGGCATCCTTTAAACAAGTCTGAAGATTTTTGAAGTTTAAAAATGCTCCCAATTTTCTGTAACAAAAAGAAAATTTCAGATATTAAATACAAAATAGGTCCTCTTCTAAGTTTAGAAAACAGATATTTTTTTCTTGAATAAAAATTCTATAATGCCCATAAATTAAAATAGTTATATCAAAATCCCTAAGTCCAAAATGATGTTCAAAAGAGAAATAAGAGAGGGGCTGTCTCTATGGTCTAATGGTTAAGGCAGCCATATCCCACATGGCCAAACACGTATTTAAGAGTCCCAACCTAGCAGCTTGAGAAACACACTAGCATGTGTATATGTGTGCCCCAAAATCTTGAAAGGAGAGAGAAATGGAGGAGAAGCGATTGAGGCATGATCATGCCCCGGGCACGTGTTGGGGGTGGGGTAGGAGGCATTTTCTCCTCTCCCTCTCTCTCTGGTAAGTTCATGCACCCTCTGGCAAATAACAAAGAAAAGAAAAAGAGAAACAGAAAGAAGACAAGAGAGAAATATTCTTTGTCTATGAGTTTACTTCCTCTCCCTCCTTTTCATTTTTTCTGTTTTTTCTCCTCTTTCTCTTCTTCATTACTAGTATTTTTTTACTCACATATTTTTCCTGAATTTCAATGTCTCTTCCCACTTAAACAATTACATTTTTTTAATTTCAGAAAATGTTCTGTATTTACTTTTTATAACTATTTAATTTTATTTATTATTATTATTTTAAAATTTGACCAGAGAGAGAGAGAGAGAGAGAGAGAGGAAGTGAGAAAGGAAGCCACCAGATCCAGTACTCGAACCATTGTCAACAATGTGGGAGTCTAGCACCTTAACCACCATGCCACCTGCTGGCTCATGGAATTATTATTAAATATTCTCTTCTGAGTTCTTTTTTTTTTTAATTGTTTAACTTATTTGTTATTATTTACTTTTGTTTTCATTTGACCAGAGAGAGTCAGAGAGAGAGAGAAAGGGAAAGTAAAAAAGCAAACCACCAGATCTGAGAATTGAACCACTGTCTGCCCATGTGGGAGTCCAGCACCATAATCACCATGCCACCTGCCCGATGCCAAGTTTTTTTTTTAAAGAATTCCAATTACATATATTTTATTCTTTTTTTTTTTCTAAAGCTACAATTTTTTCTTAACCCTTTAAAATTTTTTCAAGCCGATTTCCTTTTCATTTGAAATACTTACCTCTTAGTGTGTTTTCAGCAGTGTTATTGCCTCCATGGGCTACTATAAATTTCCCCCCAAATTCTGCAAGATCTTTCACTATCTACATTTTTTTTTTAATTGACAGAGAGACATAGGGGAAGGGGAGAAAGCACTCCCCAATGGGGTATAGTCATACCCCAAAATCTTCATTTCTCCCTCTTGTTGGGATTTCTGGGCAGGCACATGCACACTTGTACTTGGTGTGTTTTTCAAGCTGCCTGGACCAGGATTCAAATTCTAGTTGGCCATGTGGGATCTGACTCCCTTAACCACAGGGCTACAGGGCTGGTGCCATTTTGTACTTTTTTTTTTTTTTTTCCATTTTGTACTTTTTAAAAGCAATTTTATGTCTCATTAATCTTCCCTGAGATTTTATATAGCTCTTTTATGCTCTTGTGATGCTTCATTGGTTTTAAAAATTAGTAATAAAATACTTGATTATATTTTTTTGTCTGCTCATGGCTACATTATTTCCAGTGCATTTTTTAATCTGCTATTTCTTTTTATTATTTGTCTCTTACGTATTTTTTTTCTTGCTCTTATTCATTTTTTAATAATATCATTATATGCATATTCTTTATTACTTATCTTTTAATGAAGTGAATTTTTGTTCCTGAATAGCTACTTTCAAGAAATACACTAGATCCCGACCACGCAGGCATTTCCTATATGAAGTAACTTTGTGTCAATTATTCTAGCATTCACATTTTTTTCCCAAATAGTGAGAAAAAGAAAAAAATACTGTAGATAAGCTCTCTCTACTATCAAATAATGATCTCTTTCCTGTGATTCAGAAAGTGTCTGCTACAAGATTACACACCCTTGTACTGCTCTTGCAAACAAGGGTTTCTAGAATGACACTTTAGGTTTTTCTCCTCCTAAAAGATAACTATGTTTTTGAACTCATTCTAAAATCTCCAAGTGAATGTTTCCTTCCATATTTTCTCCTATACTTCTAGTTAATTTGTAATGTCTGTGGTGACCATCTTTATGTTCTGTAGTTTGGGCTTTAAGCATTCTCTTTGCCATGATAAAGCTGGAATTGGTATTTATTTCCTTGTTGCTTACATGTGACTTACGAGGGGGTAGGGAGTGTGTGTTTGACTTCATACTATCATCTTTATAAAAAGAAATCCTTATCATTCATAATCATGAAATAAATTATATGGTCAGAGTAATAAATATGAAAAGATTAAACAAGCTTGAGAACTAATAATTAAGCTGATGTTGATATGTGCTTAACTCTCCAGCATCCTTTTCATTTACCATGGCATCAGATTAGACTTCAAACCCCAAAATAAATGCTGATTATTCTAAACCAAATGTGGTAATCTCACCCCTCTTCCAATAAGTAGACCAATGGAACATATAGAAAGAGGTAGAAAGTCTCTTATTTGGCATTGTTTATAACATTTATTGTTCTAAGGTAGCACTCTCTTATATGGTTCTAATTAATTTGTAAGAGTGGATGAGGTTCTTTTTCTTAGGGCGAATAGGATGGGACATATATTACAATTTTTTAAAAGCATTTTTTTTTTTGAGAGCAAGTGAGATTTTTGCTATAGGGCATGTGCACTCACCAGAGAGACTGAGAGACGGAGAGAGAGAGAAAGTGAGAAATCACACTCCTCAGGAGGGATGGCCATGTTGCAATCCCTTCTCCTCCATTCTCCTTTTGGGATTTTGGACATGCATGCACACACATGCACCCAGCGTGAGTTTCAAGCTGCCGGGTCTGGGACTCAAACCGCAGTCAACCATGTGGTAGTCCAGCATCTTAACCACTACACCACCTGCTGGCCCCAAGCACTTTTTAAAACCACACATTCAATTTTATTTTACTGAGAAGAGGAAATTAGGTTATTCTTTTGTTCTTATTTGCATGCCTGTTTCTGCTGACATGTTCTAGAATGATTATTTCAGTTCATTATTATCATATTAGATTCAATTTTAAGTGAGTCCTATGCTTACTACCAGGCTTTTTATAGTTTTGGGGTTTTTTGTTTTGTTTTGTTTTGTTTTTGTTTTTTACTCCAGGTTTTTCATTGGCAGTTCTGGTGTTTTAGATTCACAAATGAATTGACTTATCTTCCCAGCTCAGTTATGAACTAGGTAGATCTCCTCCCTCCCCCCTCAAAAAGCTCATATGCTCACTGGAGACAGAGAAAGAGAGAGAAGGAAAGTGAGAAAGCATCCTTCATAGTGGATGGTCATGCACAATCCCTTCTCTTCTATTTCTCCCTCCCTTCAGGAGTCTGGGCACACACACAGGCTCCTGCATGTTACTCAAGTTGCTTGGTCCAAACTCCAACCACACAACTAGACATGAGGGATCCAGGTATCTTAACCACCATGCCACAGGTCAGTTCAATAGATTTTTTCAGTAAGACCAGGAGGATACTGTATTTTCTGAGTTGCTGAATATTTAAAGTGCCTTGTTACCACTATAAATAACAATCCAGATTAGTGCTTTATTCTGGAACCATTTTCTCTTCACTCCCTAAATTTTGATTATTTCGCACTCCATTGAGTCCTGCTGCTTGGTGTTGCAAAGGAAAAGTCTGAAGCATTTTAGGTATTTTCCTCTCCAGGTGACTTGCTTTATCCCAGGGATAAGGAAGTACATGAATTGTCATTCACGTAGAATATTAAAATCAAAGCATTTATTTTATAAGCCTTAAATTATCTTTTTCCAATTCAATATGTCAGCTATATATTCTAACATTTTCTAATTGTTTTAATCTGTATTTTGTTTAAGTTTTCTTAAGTTTGTCTTCCACATTACTGACTTGATTTTTAGCAAGGCAAGTTCTACATTGGTTTTATTCTTTACGTTTTTACTTCTAAATTTCTTTTTTCTCCTTTTCTTTTTTTTAAGAGAGATTTTTTGCTATAGGGCACATGCACTTCCTAGAGAGACAGTGAGAAATCACTCCCCAGGGTGGATGGCCATGCTGCTATCTCTTCTTCTCCACTCTCCTCTTGGGATTTTGGGCACACATGCACATGCACCCAGTGTGAGTTTTAAGCTGCCAGGTCTGGGAGTTTTAAGCTGCCAGGTTCGGGACTCAAGCTGCGGTCGACTATGTGGGAGTCCAGTGACATAACCATCATGCCAATTGTTGATCCTTCTAAACTACTTTAATCTCATTTTGTGGAACTGATGCTGTCTCTAATCAACAGCTTTCGCCTAACATTTCCTTCTGTTTCTAGCAGTTAGTTTTCCTTCTAAGTGTACTCTTTATCTGCCATCTTCATATTTTTTCAAATTAAATATTTCACCTGAATATTTACATATATCCTTTGCCTTATTTTTTTAAGGTTTATTTGTGTTTGAACATAGGCAACTATTTGCCTAAGTACTTTTGTTGAATTATGATATTTATTTTATTTTATTTTATTTCTTCAGAGAGAGAAAGAGATAATCAAGCATCTCTAACAGAGTCCTAATACCACAATTCACTCTTACAGTTCAGCCAGCCCTGCACATGCCGGGCATACTCAGGGAAGTCTCAGGACTTGAATAGGGAACCTTCCTATGTGGGAGCATAGCATTTTACCACTGTGTCACCAACTGACCCCATGGTGAAATCTCTCTGACTTCCATCCACCTCTGCTTCCCTTCTACCTTCTTTGTTCTGTCCCCTCCCTCCTGAACCATTTCTCTAATTACATTTGAATTGTCCCCTTTACATTGAACTATGAGGCTGTATTCATTATTTCTATTCTTTGTTCAATCATTTCACTCCAGAGGAGATTATGCAGGAGGCATCTGGAGTAAGTTGCTGTCACAATTTGGATGCAAAGCTTCTGTGTATTTTACTGGC